TGAGTAAGTTGGTACAGTATAAACTTGAGTGCTGACAATGAGAAAGTATTTTTTCCACATATTCATGTATGTTTGACTTCTCAGCTTAATTAAGGTCAATACCAAAATATCATCATAAAACACTTTAGATATTAAAAACACAATAGTTAAATCTTCCTTCAACTTCATGCACTTTTATGTCCCAGGGGTTGTCCCACCTTATATGAAGGTGACATTTAAACTGTATGGAAACGTTTAATTATGCCCTCATTTATAAATGATCCTTTTTTTTAAATGTCTTTTATTTAAACATTCAAAGTCTGTAAAATATGGTCCAATGAACATTTTCTGTATTGATTTGTCACAGGTGTTTTCCCAACATTTTGAATTACGCATTGCAGTGTGTTGCGTTTTAGGGTTAAAGAAAATGACAATAAACATTAAATTACCAACCTTGAAATTATCATCCTTGACTCATCCTTTCAATCATCAAAAATGAAAAAATATGAGTAACAAACAAGTGTGTATTTAGGATACACACAATTCTCGCTATATATTAACTATATGTAAGACAAAGCAGCTGGCCAATTCATTCCAAAATTGGTTTAATTTTTACCACCATAATTTATTCCACAAAATGATAATAAAAACACAATACATACTGTAAAATGTTGAAATGAAAATGTGGTTGAAATGTTTTTCAGAAAAAGAAAAAAAAAAACTACAATCCACAGAACCAAAAGTGCTCATAGCTGAAGAAACACCCAGTTAAAAGATGGGATGTAAATATAAAAGTTTTTTTTTTCTAAGATAAAGAACATCCAATTACATCCAAATCAGAAACTCGACACTCCAACTTAAGACGTACGTTTTCAGTTAAAGTTATTAGCCCGTAAACTCATTTAACCACTTAACTCATTTCATGTATTGGGGCCTGTTTTGCATTTTCTTTCTAAGGGGCATATAGTTTCTCATAAATTATGTTGATGGGTAAACTGACTGTATTGTGGGTGAGAGGTGTGAATGCTTCGATGATCACTTGAGGCAATGATTTCAAAAGTGTGGTGGTAAGTTTGTGACGCATTATTTCCTTCTGACTGCTACTGTACATCACTTAAAAGACCTCCGCAGAATAACTTACCTACATAATCAACACCGGCTAACTGACCAACACCCAAATTACCTTTGATTTGATTTGGATATCAAGAGCTATGGCATGGACTTCTAAATTAATTACCGTTGCTGTTCTGATCGCACTCATGGGATGTTTCACTGGCGCACTAGGCAACTGTAAGTAACTAAACATGCAGCACTCGATATTTCAATACCAAAGTCACTGTCACTGTCTCTTCATGTGCTGCTGATAATGAGAAACCTTAAGAAGAGCACTATATTTGCAGGATCTCATACTGCTGTGATCATAAATTTGACTTTTGTCACATGGGGTCTGCAGGCTACTCTTACTGGTTAGAGATTAGAGAGGAAGTGAATATCCTGTCTTCAAAAATACTATATAAAAAGACCTGAGTCTAGTTAGCATCTTCAAAACAGAAGCTAGCTTGCAAACATCTTCCTCGTCTGGTTATCTGAATATTTTACAACATCATGCAGCTCTGCTGGAAATTAGCTCTGATGATGATGGTGCTTATGTGTGTTACTGCACAGCAAGTCAACTGTAAGTTTTATGATTTGCTATTACTGGATTTGCATTTATACAATGCCTTTTGTTTTGATTATTATGGATCCTTTGATTTTTAATTAACTTTTTTTTCAATTTACACTCAGATTTTGCATGTTTTATTCATTTAATTCAAACCAACATGTTTTCAGACTAGTATTGCTGTTTAAAGGCATAATCTACCCAAAAAAATGCTAATTTGATTATCGTTTACTCATCCTCATGTCGTTACTAACTTGTATGACTTTATTTCATCTGTGGAAGACAAAAGAAGATATTTTGAAGAATTCTGGTAGCTAAACAGTTTCCGTTCCCATTGTCTTCCATTATATGGACCAAAAATATAACAACATTCAATGAGAACCGAGAATATCTTAATTTGTGTTTAGCAGAAGAAAGAAAAGAATACAAGTTTGGAAAGACATGAGAGTGAGTAAATGATGACAGAATTTACATTTTTTATGTGGATGATCCTTTTAATGATGGTGAATCCATTACTATATATTGCATTAACGGTACCACAGTTTTGTTTTCTTTGATGAAGCCCTTATCAAGATCACGATCATCTCGTTTTCACACATACACGCAATATAAGTACTGTATGCACACAATGTAAGTAAAGTGGAGATTTCAATCTCTGTCTCTCTTTCAGATCGTCGTCCCACTCGTGTTGGAGTGAGCTGCTGTAAGGATGTGTCGAAAGCAAGAATACCTCCTGCAACTAAACTGATTGGATACAAGCAACAGAATGCTCTGAGTCCATGTGTGGATGCGATAATGTAAGCTCTCTCTACAGTCTTATTTCACAGACGTTAATATGCATGATACTGTGTTCATTTCATTTCATCTGTCCTGCAGATTCTACACAGAGAAGGAAAAGTACTGCTCTGATCCAAAAGCGCGCTGGATTCAAGACCGTCTGAAAGGTACAACCCTAACATTAATATAACAGTTTAATATGATGCTTATGTACTGATGAAAAAACTCATAACATGATCATCTTTCCCCCAGATTTGGATGAGATAATGGACTGAATCAATGGAGGCCTAGAAGATGCTGCAGATCTATCTTTTATATCATTATGTATGATTATTTAAGCAAAAAAAAAAAAAAACATATATTAGATCCTCTAGCTTATGTGAGTGTTAAAAGCTGTTTAATCGCTTTGTTTTATCTGCTTTAAAAATAAAATGCAATTTTTGAAAAATAACCATTCAAGCTGCTTACTTTCACTCAAACATCCAGCCTTTTCTCTGTAACAGTTTGGACTGTATTTAATCATATTTATGCTGAATCATTAAAGAAATAGTTCACACAAAAAAGTGGAAATTCATATAATTCCCAATCCGTATGACTATCTCTCTTATAATAATAATATAATGTTACTTTATAATGTTGTTCTTTTTGAGGCATCAAAGATTTAATCCACCTGTAACTGAATGGAAATAAATAATATTGGGTGAAATATTCCTCTGCCTACTAACTATATTGTGTTACATTAATTGTAAGTCTCCATCTAGTGACGAATATCACCTAATAAATGCACAGAGTAGGTCATAATGCAATTTATCAGCCACATAGAGTGTCAACCCCAGAGTACAACTAAACAAATAATACATTTTATGGGATTCATAAACAAATAAACATATAAACAAATAAACATTAACCATAATAACAAATAACATCCCCCCCCCCCCCAAGACGTTCAAAAACAAAAACAAATACAAATTTGAATATTTGTTTTTTCCTGCTGCTAAGAGGACAGATGCCAACATATATGCTGCAAAGGTTTAGAAATGATTCACGTATAAATGCCGGAATCACTCTCAAATTTGCAGTGATTGACATTCTGATGACCACAGCAATGGACGGGACAAAAATATGATACGTCAAACATGGGAATTAAGCAATATAAATGCAGACTAATAGATTAATAGAAAAACATTCACATTTTCGGTTCAAAATATTTTTGAAATGCTAATGCCATTATTTGTAAAAGTAATGACTTGTAGATCTTGTGAATCTTACTAACAGATATAGGATTTTTTTTTACCTTTAGATAAATGGCTGCCCACTGCTCCGGGTGTGTGTTCACGGTGTGTGTGTGCCCACTGCTCCGGGTGTGTGTTCACGGTGTGTGTGTGTTCACTACTGTGTGTGTGCACTTTGGATGGGTTAAATGCAGAGCACTAATTCCTAGTATGGGTCACCATACTTGGCCACATGTCACTTCACTTTAAAAAGTTTGGACTTTATATTTAAAAATTACCTCACGTTAGCAGCAGGTAGCTAGTTAGCTAGCCAGTTAGCATCAGCTAACAATATTTTTCAAATAGGCTATTATAATTTAGTAATTCATAATTATTGATTATATTGATTATAATTATTTGGTGTAAATGTATAAAAAATTTGCTTTGTCAGACTGGGGCCATTTTACCCCACCTGTGGGGGTAAACACCCCTTGGTACAAATTACATTTTTCATTCTTTGTTTATAATGTATGTAATTGTAACTAAAACTATGATAACTTTTCTGGACACATTTAACTTTTGTTTCACAGAAAAAAAATTACTCAGTCCCTGAACTCTCAGACCATCCAAGATGTAGGTGCCTTCTTTCTTCAGTAGAATATTAAGACGATTTTAGCTGGAACCATGGTCATAGGCTGTGGATTACATGGTAATAATGTTGTAAATAATGCTCAGTTTCATGCACAGACCAATCATTTCACTTCATAAGACTTTACTATATCATAAGGAGCCACAGGTATTAATTTTGTGTTCCTTGATATGCTTTTTGCTGTTCTCAGAAACGGGCAGCTGCTGACTTGCAATTTATAAATCACCAAGACCCACGGTTTCAGCTAAAATTCTTCTTTACTGTTCCACTCAAGAAAAAAAAGTCACCTACATCTGTGATGGTCTGAGGGTGAGTAAATTAACAGAGAACTCTTCCTTTAAGACAGTCACTTGCTTCATTCCTGAATCATCAATTATTCTATCAATTGCTTCATGAATCAGCCATTTGAACAGATTGATTGAAGGAATGATTCTGTGGCAAAGGCAACTTGTCACCACCTACTGGCAGTTTTATTTTAATTTTGTAGTGCAAATATGTATTTTGTTGACACTGATTTAATTTGATTTGCAATTCATTCTTCCTGATTGTCTTTATTATTATACTTGAATTAATTTTTTAATTAAAAAAACTGGAAAAGTTTATAAATATAAATTAAGAATTTGACATAAAAGATGACACATACATTTAATAAAAAATGGCCTTACGAAGATTTTAAAAATTGCCCCTGGAAATCAGTTTAAGGAGTGAAATATAAATGGGAGGGTTACTTTCTGTCATTGACCAGAAAGTGCTCCTAAGAAGAAATGTAATCATAGAGCCATGATTAACTAACGTTAAAGGTACATTATGTAACTCTTTTCCTTTCTACTTAAAAAAACTAAATTGCATGCATTTTGAGCAATTGAATAGCGATAGCAAGCGGGAGTCCTAATTACTCTGGACTCATCATATTTAGGCATTTTCATTCCATTCTTTGCAGCACAGTCTTTCACTTGGTTGATCTTTTCTGCCACTGTGCTGTCAACTCTCAAGGCCTTTAGTCTCTCCATCAGAAGATTCACACACACTGTGGCTCCAAGAGCGTTCGTCTTTTTACACTGCAGGCTCTTTGCCACTGCCTCACATGGCTCAAATAGTGCTTAACAGCAAAGAAGACTGAAGAGAGATTTGCCTTTTAGTGCTTGCTTGTGAAGTCCATGTATTTTGACTCTTGTATCTCCTCTTAATCCTTTGACCTCCTTCAAAGTTTCGAGTGTAGTCAGTATAATAAACAACACATGATAAACAACAGCCCTGAATCATTTTAGTTCACATGCACCATCACGTTGGGCATAAGCCTGTCATAAGCTTTAATCCAGCAAGTACTCTGACAATGTCTTTGTAAATATCAATTTTTTCATGCAAAGTAAATTTTGATGTGGCTTTCCACAAAAAGCCTATCTGTCTGCCCTTGCTCGGATACGATATGTTTTTGCTCTACAGCTTGGCAGCATGCGAAGCAAAACACGCAGTCCATCTTTACATCTATAGCCACCTCTACTTATCAAACCACTGTGACTGAAAAGAACAGGAAAATGTTTCATCTCCAAAACTTTTGCTTGGAAAATCTTAATTATGTGGTTGACAGCGCTGTGTTAATGTTCCTACCCCTCCTGATTTTGTTGCGGTGGTACTGAGATTATCAGAGGGCCCAGGCTCAGGTATTGGGACAGTCCCGCTGCTGTTAACATGGATATCCCGCTCATTTTCTGATCTGTGCTGCTGGGAGTGAGACCATCATCAACAGTTCTTCTGTTATCAGACTCAGATTCTTTTTCAGATTTGCTTTTTTTAGATTCTGGTGAATTTTTAAAGAAATTAGACATTCTTTTTTTGACTAGCCATAGTTAGCTGACTAACATAGTTATAATTGATAATTAATTAATAATTTTTTTCCACAGAAATTGTATTTATTTTATTAAGATGATGATTTTAAAAGTATGAATTGCAATTATGGAAATTATGACGTTTTATTAAAAATAATATTTAAAAGTTTGTCATTTAAAACAAATATTTAAAAATTGTAAATATTGTTTTTACAACAGTTTAGGCCCCCTCTGAGGGCCCTGACGGTTCCCCACTGCTATTTACAGATATGAAAACAGCGCCATCAGGTGGTTTGTAAAAAATAAAACAGCCAAAAACATGCTAGCGACCCCTAGAGGACGCAGTTCGAAGTTCCCATGAAAGGGAAGCTTCGTCGAAGGAAGAGCCACCACACATTCCATAGATAATTTATGTTACGTGCACAAATTAAAGGCTAAAATCTGGGTAGATTTTTACATTAATTTTAATATATTTATTCATGAATTTTTGAAAAGGTCCTTCCAGTAGTGGATGTGTTCCAATCTGTCAGTAAAGGATGCTGTCATTATGACAAACTGAAAAGGCATTTCAGAAGAATCTGATAGTATGGAGCAGCTACAGTAAGTGTGACAGCATTGTGAAAGTCTAGCAAAACTACCCAACAAACCATTTCAGTCAGCTCTTCCTTCCTATGTTGCTACATTTGACAACAAGATATAATATATTTGAATTACTGAATAAAAATCACTCTATTGATAAGTTGAATGGTCCTATTGGCATATTAAAAATAAATAGTTTTAAGCACACACTGAATGTATATCAGTTAAATGACTGACAGCCAGGTTAGAAATTAAATATCATGCAAGAATATTTCCCTATCAAACAGAGATTCCCACATCTACATTTACATTTATTAATTTAGCCCATTTTGACATTTAATTTGAGATTTACACCTACTATCACAAATGAGAAGATCACTCCCAATCTAATCTACACGGAAAGCCAGATGATGAAACAGAGAGATCATCTATAAAAATAAATGTGGCCACAATGGAAAGGATGCAGCCCATGCAGTTAAGTTCCACTTTATTGACTATTTAAAGGGGTCATATGATGCTATTTTATGATAAGCATATAAGTTTTAAAGGCTTTTATTGGCAAAAAATATGAGTCAGTATTTACAGTGACTCTTTTGCTTCATAACCTCTGCAATATGCTCTAGCATGCTGGATATTAGCTTCTGGGCCAACTCCTGATTGATGGCGATTTTTGCCTTAGTTCTCAGAGTTGATCACAATTTGTGGGCTTCTGCTTGTCCACTCGTCTTTTGAGGACTGACCACAGGTTCTCTAGGGATTGAGATCCTTGGAGTTGCCTGGCCACGGATCCAAAATTTAAATGTAATGATATTCGAGCCACTTTATCACTCTTGCTTTGTGACATGGTGCTCCATCATGCTGGAAAATGCACAGATCATCACCAAATTGCTCATGGATCGTTAAAAGAAGTCGCTCTTGCAGGACGTTTTGATACCATTCTTTATCCATGGCAGTGCTTTTGGGCAGAATTATGAGAGTGCCCACTCCCTCCCTTGAAAAGCAACCCCACACATGGGTGGTCTCAGGATGCTTCACTGTTGGCACAACACAGGACTCATGGTAGCGTTCACCTTTTCTTCTCCGAACAATCAATTTTCCAGATGTCCCAAACAGTCGGAAGGGAGCTTCATCAGAGAAAATAACTTTGCACCAGTCTTCTGCTGTCCAATCCTTGTACTTCCTGCAGAATTTCGGTCTGTCCTTGACTTTTTCTTGGAGAAAAGTGGCTTCTTTGCTGCCCTTCTTGACACCAGGTCGTTGTCCAAAAGTTTTGGCCTCACTGTGCGTGCAGATGCTCTCACACCAACCTGCTGCCACGATCCCGCAGCTGACTCCTCAGGAGGAGATGGTCCTGGTGCTTGCTGGACACTCTGGGACGTCCTGAAGACTTCTTCACTGCAGTCGAACCTCTCTCCTTGAAGTTATGATCCTGTAAATGGTTCTTTCAGGTGCAATATTCTTTGTAGCAATTTCCTTGCATGTGAGGCCATTTTGATGTGAAGCGATGATGACTGCATGTGTTTCTTTGGAGGTAACCATTGCTAACAAGAACACAATTATTGGAAGCGCTTCTTCCCTCATTTTATAGCAATCAGTCTGCTCTTACAATCTAATTAGTATGACAGTGATTTTACCTGACTAGTACTCATTCACACTTTCACATGTGCTGCTGATATGATTAGTCAATTAATGTTAGTTGGTCATTTTGTGTCAGGATCAAAAAGTAGTGAAATTTGTTTTTTGTGAAAAGTTCATTTTTTGGCCAATGAAGCTTTTAACAATTATTTAAAAAGCACCTGATCACTCTACACAATAATCTAGAAACAATGTGAATGAACACCACAACAGCTTAAGCTGCAAACTTTTGCAAAACACAAAATTTATGTCACTGCCAAAACTTTTGGCCATAACTGTAATGCCCTTTTAAAGAAATATCATTTAACAATGTATCAAAGACTACCAAGCAGATATAAACCTCATTTACATTCTGAGTGGTGTGACCATATTTCCATCCATTGTTCTCTGAAATTATTAGTCTCTCTGGACCTGCTCTGGTCAGATACCACAGCACATTTCACCTATTAGTGGCTCATTGTGCTAAAGTGCTATATGTGGTTATAAATAATCATCATGACTGGTAGCAGTGAAAAACAGGATGTGGTTAACAGCCACTGAACAGAATATATGTCTAACATAAAACGTTTAGGACATGTTCACCAAATTCATTGCTTCAGATCCCTACAAGAAAATTCATCCAAAAAAGCTTCTTAATTCTTTATTTCAGTTCTGCTTGTATCACTTTATTAGAAGAATGTCTCTGTTCAATGTGTGTGAGATGTCTTGCTTTTTTTAACTGCTGGCTCAAGAGCTACATTTCAATCACAAACAGGAAACAACACTGTTAAAAGGCTGTTGTGAGAGAGGAGCTTTTTCATGCTGTATAATCACAACAAAATACAACATACAGGCCATTGTAAGTATTGTCATTATTCATTTGCACAAGTTAGACATTTTAAGTTTCAGAAAATGTCATACAGCATTGACAAACAGTTAAAGGGTTACTCCACCCCAAAATGAAAATGTTGTCATTAATCACTTACCTTAACTGCGTAAACTCTTCTGCTCTTCACAGAATAGCGTGCGCTGCTTGCGTTCAGCGCATATTCTCCAAAATGGCACTACGTTGATGCGGAAAGACACAGAGGAGATTAATTGTTGAATAAAGTCGTTCTTTTTGTTTTCTTCGCATACAAAAGGTATTCTCGTCGCTTCATAACATTACGGTTGAACCACTGATGGCAGATGGACTATTTTGATGATGTCTTTCATACTTTTCTGGGCCTCGACAGTGTAATTTACTAGGCAGTCAATGGGACAGTCTCAACTTAGCCTCCCGGTTTTCATCCAAAATATCTTAAATTGTGTTCCGAAGATGAACAAAGCTTTTATGGGTTTGGAACGACATGGGGTAAGTGATTAATGACAAAATTTTCATTTTGGGGTGGAGAAACCCTTTATGTGTTCAAAACTCAATTCACAACAATCTAATATAAGCACATCTGAAAAAAAGGGGTCATAAAAAATACTTCTGATTACCACAGAGACACTGACGCTTACAAATTGTATTAAAGACAAAAGATAAAGTTAAGTGTATAAAAGAATTTTGTAATAATGAATTAAGGTATTGGTGTATACAAAACTTCAGCCAGTGTCCAATCACTTTGTCCCATTTTACCCTGGAAATCCAGAAAAAAAAGAGAGAATGTGATAGTTTTATGCGGTAATTACAAACTACTAACAAACAAACTATATTTAATGAGAGATTCTGACCTGAACAATATGAATCCAGTCCTGGTTCAGGTTATTAGTTCTTCCACAACCTTTAAATAAGAAAGGAATTATACCAAAACATATTATTAAACAAAATCTTGGTAGAAATGCTCTAGTAAAATCCACCTTTCCACAGTCCTGTTCCTCTCCAACACACATAGACACTTGACACCAGTAAGAGTAGCAGAAGCAAGCAGACGACAGGCAGCCACGGGATGACACTGATGATCACTGGATCATTACTGCTAGTATCTGTAGCCTGATCGACATCTTCAGTGCTCACTTCTACACACAACAACAACACAGAACAATACAGATTTCTACTTTAGTATTAGTTTTAGGTCAAAAATAACAATTAAATGACAATTAAATAAAAAAATTAATTAGGAATGTATTTAATAGAAGAAAATGAAAACAAAACCTACCTTCATAGTCCAGTTTTGTGCAGTGAGTTTGCTCTAACATGCATTCAGTGCAGCAGTAGAGCATGAGATCAGTGTCAGTGATGTTCATCAGAAGCAGAGAGTGAGTGTTTGTGGATGAACTGAGAGCTCTTATTCGACCTGCATAACTGGGGTGAATATTGGAGGGCTCTGGTTTAGATTCTGGACCATAACCATATTCTAGTCTCAGAATTCTGACAAATGTTTGGTTTCCATTTGTAATGATCCAGGTAATCTCTTTATCATTTTTAATGCTGCAGGGAAGTGTTGTGTTTCCTCCTGGATGAACTTTCACTGATGATCCTTCAGTGGCAATAATTAAGACACTGAAACCTGAAGATGAAACAATACAATTGTTTGATTTATATGGAAAATATGAATCCAAGAAAAACTTACTTGGCAGTGATCATTTGACAATCTGGATCTTGGTGGCATTGGCATTTAATCATGTAGCAGAAATTTTTATCGAAATTTATTTACAAACAAGTAAAATCACAAGTTATTCATCAAACAATATCTATAGCATCACTGAAATTAGAGCATTTGATAACTTGACATACTCACATATAAACTGTTTCAGAATCATTCTCTCTCTCTCTCTCTCTCTCTCTCTCTCGCTCTCTCTCTTTGGGGTTTGTTGCCATTTACATCACAGTTTGTGATTTTTGTCAACTGCTGTAAGGATGAGTCAAAGGCACAAATCCCTTCTTAAAGAATACATAGTCCATGTGTGGATGCTATAATGTAAAATATCTGTACACAGTCTAATCTCATAGACTTTTATACCCATGACATTACTGAATGTGTTCATTTCCTAGATGTTCCTTTAGCTATGTGAACGCTGGTCAGGATGTTTCACTTAACTGCTTCGTTTTCTCTGCTTGAAATTTTCAGAGGAATAGAACAACCATCGAAACCGTGTCCAGTCTTTAATCATATTTAAAACAATTCAATTAAAGAATCCAGTTTCTTTAAACCATTTTGAACATTTGATCAGACTAAAACCCAAAGCGTACTTTGCCATCCGTGACATAATTTTAGTCATTAGCACTGATTTGGTCATTAGTCCTCTGATGTCCATACAGACTGTTTGTGTGCAGCCCAAAATTTCTAGCTAACTATAAATAAAATGTCCTAAATTACAGTGAGGTTACAAAAATGTCAACTAGGTATTCCTAAAAGAGAGTTTTAGGATTTTATTTAATTATTATTACTAATTGTTTAATTTAAACAGTGTTACACTGCTAACTTTACTCCTAATATAACCCAACCCTTACCCCAAAACTCTAACCGTTAATCATAACCTCTAAACTACCATACCTCAGATTTATTGGCAGTAAATGTGTTAATTTTCCAGAACAACATGTAGTTACACATAAATTCATGGTCTTGTAGGTGATTAATGTTAGAACATAGTAGTTCAGGCCACATAATATAAAGTGTGATCAATAATTTTACAGCTAATGATTGTCAGTAAACAGATGGGTTTACTGAGTATACTTCCAAACTAAACTATGCAGATATCCAGATTTGTAGCCCATGCAATTTCCTCTTTCCTTTTCTGGTCATTACTGCTTAAGGTGGACTAGCAAGAACCTTGAGTATATTCTCTCAGATAAATAAAGTGAAAGTTGGAGGTCGGCTGTGAAAATGGAGACACAAAGGATCCTCATGAGGAGTTTGGCTTTTGTGGTCATTACATCTGTGATCTGGACTATATATACACAGGTACTCTCAGATAAATAAAGTGAAAGTTGGAGGTCGGCTGTGAAAATGGAGACACAAAGGATCCTCATGAGGAGTTTGGCTTTTGTGGTCATTACATCTGTGATCTGGACTATATATTCACAGGTAAAGTGCTTCTAACTGTTTGTACAGTATTCTATCTGATGTAACTTTATATATAACACAAATATTGTGGATAACTGTGCTTTCGTTTTGGTCTGTAGCAGATGCTGAAGAGATGAAATCTTGCTGTACTGAAGTCTCCACAGAGCAGTGATGTGAAAAAAGTGATGTCATGTGGCCAAGTATGGTGTCCCATACTTGGAATTTGTGTATTTATCCCATCCAAGTGCACACACACAGCAGTGAGTAGTGGACACACACCCAGAGAGACACACATCTTTTTTTTGCTGTGGCGCCCAGGGAGCAGTTGGGGGTTCAATGCCTTGCTCAATGGCACCTCAGTCGTGGTTTTGAAAGTGTAAGAGAACGCTGTACATTCACTCCCCCCACCTACAATCCCTGCCATAATAATTGATCATCTTCAGTACTCACTTCTACACACAACAACAACACAGAAAAATAGATTTCTACTTTAGCATTAGTGTTGATTCATATGAAGCAAAATAAAGATAGTGTAACATTTTTCCTCTTGTTTTAGCTCAAAAATAACAATTAAATGGCATTTAAATAAAAAAATTAATTAGGAATGAATTTAATAGAAGAATATGACAAAACGACCATTGTCCAGCTTTGTGCAGTGAGTTTGCTGAATCCTATAGTCAATGCAGCAGTAGAGCATGAGATCAGTGTCAGTGATGTTCATCAGAAGCAGAGAGTGAGTGTTTGTGGATGAACTGAGAGCTCTTATTCGACCTGCATAACTGGGGTGAATATCGGAGGGCTTATTGGTTTAGAGTCTGGACCATAACCATATTCTAGTCTCAGAATTCTAACAAATGTTTGGTTTCCGTTTGTAATGATCCAGGTAATCTCTTGATCATCTTTAATGCTACAGGGAAGTGTTGTGTTTCCTCCTGGATGAACTTTAACTGAGGCTCCTTCAATGAGAATCATCAATACAACAGTGAAACCTAAACAAAGTAATACAACAAAAAAACATTGCAACGTAAATTTGCAAACGATGCATATATTTGAACATGACCATCTACTCTAATCTATTATAATATTAATATCATAAAATATACACTGTAAACAATGCACTTCATGTGGTAACATTCAAATTAAAAATATTATTTAATTTGACTGAATCAGCCTGACTAGATTACACTCTTAAAAATAAAGGTGCTTCACGATGCCATAGAATAACCTTTTTGTCTAAATGGTTCCATAAAGAACCTTCAACATCTGAAGAACCTTTCTGTTTGACAAAATGTTCTTTGTGGCGAAAGAAGGTTCTTCAGATTATAAAAAGGTAAGAAAGAGATGGTTCTTTAAAGAACCTTTGACTGAATGGTTCTTTGTGGAACCAAAAATGGTTCTTCTATGGCATCGCTTGAAGAACCTTTTGAAGCACCTTTATTTTTAAGAGTGTACATTAACAAAACTCAGGTTAGATCAAGTAGAAATAACTTCTTACCATAACAAATTGTATCCCTATACAGCATACTTACATATTAAAACGTTGATCATTGTTTTTTCTTGATGTTTCTTTTTCCATCTCAAATGGATACTAGGGCCAGGGGATGCTGTGGCTGCCCTGCTACTGCTGTCTAGAGGAAGTGTTTCGTTGAGGCGGTGCTCAGCAGAGTTCAGCAAAAAGTTCATTGCTTCACGTTACCTATGTTATCAAATTCTGATTTATTAAAAGCTAAATAAAACAATACAATAGAATTTAAACTGTGCAAACTTGATCAGTTATTTACATACTAATTTAATTATGAACTGTATTTTTTGAATCTGTATTTATTATGAACTGTAGATGTCAGAACTGTAATATTTTAAGCTAAAATGTCAAATGTGGCATCTAGCTCAACAGTAGCTGTCACAATACTGCACGTGTTGTAGCAGGACTTTCATACAGGACACTGGTTTTGATGACACAACTTGTGTTTAACAATTCCAGCAGGGGCGCTGAGTAAACTGACATGCGGATATGTACAGTAATAAGTTTACGTTATATATTACTCCTGTGAGGGCCAAAAGAGGGAGACAGAGAACAGAGTATAAGGTCATAGACAAGCATTTTCCTAAACTGAGAGAGAAAAGTGGAGGCTCCTTGTGAGCATCTTGCTGTCCTCCATTGCTTTTCTTCCTTAGATCAGCAGCTTAAAAAATATGTTCCAAAAACAGAACGATAACTATTTCTTCTGGCTTGAGTAAGTCTCGTCTCCTGAATTTTTATACCATTCATGTCTGCCTCTCGTGCCTTGAAGAATAATTGAGATAGCTAATTACACAACAGTGGCCATAAGCCAGGAATTTAATAAATAAATAAAATGTCCTTGTTGTGTCATTAATCTATGTGGTGAAATAGAGGGTTGTTTTTCTTAGCACTGTAGAATTACAAACCATCACTTATGGATTATTACATCCTCAAATCCAATATAATCTTTCAATTTCATTGCTCTAGTTCATGTGCGTGCACCAAAGATCCTAATCCATGTTGAGTGCACAGTGTTGAGCATTTAAGGAACATCAACAGCCCATTTACTCTGTACCACATGGATATTTTGGACCTGTCCCTGGAGACGGAGCTCAGTGTTCTTTTTTCCTGGTCAGAAAATTCATTTTTCAACATGTGTAAACCCTCCATCTGCTGCCTGCCTGGCTTAAACACTGCTCAGTCCATCTGAGCCAGTGGAAATGTTTGACTCCATCACCTCACTGTAGCAGTGCCACAAACATCTGACACATACATAAATTCAGCATCACCTGGTGTTGTTCTGATATTTCTCCCTCCAAAGGCATCAAGACTGGGTAACAGTTCTGATATATACATTAAAAACATGGCGTTATCTTGATACATAACCAAAACACACAGTATTAACATGGTAAATATCCCCAAAAAACATGGCATTACCTTGATTCATATTCAAAAACTATGGTCAATAGCACATGTACAATAAAAGAAAAGAAAAAAAGCAATATAACCAAGAAACCAAGTCAAAAATACATTATATTGCCTTGGTACGGGTCCAAAAATATGGTAATACTTTGCTTTGCTTCCATAAATGTATCTCAGATAACTCAGATATTCTCTTGTAAATTAAAAAGTAATGCGTTACTTTACTAGTTACTTGAAAAAAGTAATCTGATTACGTAACTCGCAAAGCGTACTTTGCCATCCGTGACATAATTTTAGTCATTAGCACTGATTTGGTCATTAGTCCTCTGATGTCCATACAGACTGTTTGTGTGCAGCCCAAAATTTCTAGCTAACTATAAATAAAATGTCCTAAATTACAGTGAGGTTACAAAAATGTCAACTAGGTATTCCTAAAAGAGAGTTTTAGGATTTTATTTAATTATTATTACTAATTGTTTAATTTAAACAGTGTTACACTGCTAACTTTACTCCTAATATAACCCAACCCTTACCCCAAAACTCTAACCGTTAATCATAACCTCTAAACTACCATACCTCAGATTTATTGGCAGTAAATGTGTTAATTTTCCAGAACAACATGTAGTTACACATAAATTCATGGTCTTGTAGGTGATTAATGTTAGAACATAGTAGTTCAGGCCACATAATATAAAGTGTGATCAATAATTTTACAGCTAATGATTGTCAGTAAACAGATGGGTTTACTGAGTATACTTCCAAACTAAACTATGCAGATATCCAGATTTGTAGCCCATGCAATTTCCTCTTTCCTTTTCTGGTCATTACTGCTTAAGGTGGACTAGCAAGAACCTTGAGTATATTCTCTCAGATAAATAAAGTGAAAGTTGGAGGTCGGCTGTGAAAATGGAGACACAAAGGATCCTCATGAGGAGTTTGGCTTTTGTGGTCATTACATCTGTGATCTGGACTATATATACACAGGTAAAGTGCTTCTAACTGTTTGTACAGTATTCTATCTGATGTAACTTTGCTAAATATTGTGGATAACTGTGCTT